TCATCCGCAATAGACGAATTAATCGCATGACTGATAGTAATATTACCAAAAATAACGAGGCAATAGAATAACAATAATATAAGTCTTTTTGTAGGTTTATGCCAACTGACAATGGCACGTTTTTGCTGTGAATATGAATGAAAAAGAAAATGGAAAGCGAAAACGGATGACTAACTTGCTCAGAACGAATCCGATCGCAATCACTGCGAATCGCTTCACGTCGGGATTCGGATCGGCAGCCACCTTGGCCAATAAACGTCTCACAACATCGGCCTTACCCGAGCCTGCATACGCCATCGCCAAGGCACACACGGCCGTTGAGCGCAACATCGCATTCGATTTATGCTCCATCAACTGCTCAATCCATTGCTCTGCTTCCTCTTGACGACCTGTAACGGCCCCCGTTTCCATCGTATTTATTGTAATCCTTACTATCAGTAATAGTGATATCACGTTATCATTACCCACCATATTAATCTAAATCATCTTGCACCTCAGAAGAGAGGATCCAAGTGCGGTTCATTATTAAAATCGCAATCTTTATCACCATTTCTTAAATCGCAACGGAAAATGTAACATTCTTAATAACATTTTGAAGCACGAATTAATCGCATGACTGATAGTAATATTACCAAAAATAACGAGGCAATAGAATAACAATAATATAAGTCTTTTTGTAGGTTTATGCCAACTGACAATGGCACGTTTTTGCTGTGAATATGAATGAAAAAGAAAATGGAAAGCGAAAACGGATGACTAACTTGCTCAGAACGAATCCGATCGCAATCACTGCGAATCGCTTCACGTCGGGATTCGGATCGGCAGCCACCTTGGCCAATAAACGTCTCACAACATCGGCCTTACCCGAGCCTGCATACGCCATCGCCAAGGCACACACGGCCGTTGAGCGCAACATCGCATTCGATTTATGCTCCATCAACTGCTCAATCCATTGCTCTGCTTCCTCTTGACGACCTGTAACGGCCCCCGTTTCCATCGTATTTATTGTAATCCTTACTATCAGTAATAGTGATATCACGTTATCATTACCCACCATATTAATCTAAATCATCTTGCACCTCAGAAGAGAGGATCCAAGTGCGGTTCATTATTAAAATCGCAATCTTTATCACCATTTCTTAAATCGCAACGGAAAATGTAACATTCTTAATAACATTTTGAAGCATAACCAGCAGCATCATAATCATCACTTAGATTACAATATGGGATTGGATCTCGATGTGACCATATCTTGTCCGATAATACCACATTACTTGTTTCTTTATTTATTATAAATCGTGATAAAGAGTTAACGACGTGAACGCACCGTAGGCAAGAAGCGAAATACCAGTGCGTAGACCACGTTGAATTTTGTCGTGTTGAGTGTCACAAACGTACTGAATCATCTCCTGGAATGCACCTTGATGCATTCCTCCGACCATCACTAAACCCATCGCTAACCCTGCTGCCTCACCTGTCACTGCATCATCTTGATATAGGCAATCTCGTAATTGAATGTAAACCTGAAATTACATTCCCTTCAATCGACAATATCCGTGTTTTACTCTATTCCCAATACACTCTTCACTTTCATACACTCATCAATCATTCGCTGTGAATATGTTATTTGACATGTCTCATTTTTGATATCACTGATGAAACACATCCACATTCGGCTAGACAATTCGTAGATTCTAAATCGAAAACGGAGCTGAATTACGCGATCGTTAGAATATGAATGAGTACGGCTTCGTTACCTGTTCATCATGAGTGCCCATAGCAGCAAGACCAAGACCGAGGCATGCACCATGTCTTATTGCTGATGTCGTCGCTTTTTGCAATTGATCACGAAGATAGGCAATCACTTCTTGATTCCCGTGATTCGCATGAATCAAACCTCAAATAAATTTTGACTATCATCGATGCTATTAAAATTTTTTACAATATGATTACCAATTCATCAACCACTACGGAAGTTGTATCATTATTATTATCTTACAAAACAAACCAATACGCTGAACACAGTACAACTCATCAACCGCTGCGGTTAAGACTTTAAAATACTATGGAATTAGTTCAATCGACACAACAAATTCATTAAATTTGTTGCATAATAAAAAGCAAAACAAATACGAAATCATCAGTCAACGAACCATAAGCATAAAGTGAACCGCCTTCTTTGAATCCAAACTGATCTGCTTCACCTTTCGGCAAATAAGGCTCCAATAATTTTTGAGCGTTTGCCTCATGACCCTGAATGAATACAGTGAATAAATTCATTACTGTTCGTTCAATTTTAAGAGATAACAAAATTATCGATTCGTGTCAAATGACTGAACATCACAAAACGAGCGTTGATATATAAATGACTGCATACTTTGTGAATAAGTCCGAGTGATGCAACTGCGTTGAATTTGTTCCAATTTGTCGCCTTACTGATCCAGTCCAAATTATCTCTAAAAGCTCCGCATTCATATATGTCGAACGAAACTGTTCATTGACGAAGTAAAATCAGAGTGGATAAATCTTCTATGAGGACACCAAAGACGACGCACGTGGTGATTACTGTTCAATGCATAAAATCACTGACAATCCTAATTATAACTTTTCACTGACCAATTCAGAGTTCCCGAGCTTTCACTGCTTAAGATGAAAAACGGTTCAGTGACAGAAACTAAATTCAAGCTTCTCGGAAGACTTGCTGCTGTGAAGCGAATGCTCACGGGAGAATGTCGATCAAAGTGGTAATAAATTCGAAATGTTTATCAGAGGTGAAAAGTGCTTAGACTGTAAGCTGCTATAGCTTACAGTTTAAAAAATTACTATTTATTTGAAGTAAATCAAAAATAAAACCCATATAAGATTAACTGATTGATGAGCAAACCTCAAGAAGTCATCAGTGGTCGTACCAAGATGCATCAGACCATTCGCAATAACCGTTGCGTTGTGTGCAGATGCAGTTCGCACACTCTCTTTCATTTGTTTCAATATCAACATATCCGTATGATTATTCTTGATCAAAAATTGCATATGGTGCTTAATCGTTTGTTCACCACGCAGAATTGACCGCAATCGATCCGCTATTTCACCTTCCTTAATTCCATCCTCACTTCACTCCTAACTCCAGCTATACTCAACCAGATTTCCATTCAAAAATAAACTCCCATACGAGAACGCACTCCAAATTAAACTCAAAAACTCATACGAGAATTAAACTCAAAATTCACAATCGGCTCTATGTTATTCTCAAAAGTATCGAGGAGTGCTGATATCGGTGAGAATAAACGAACGCAATTTTATTCGATTTGAATGAATCAATTGAGAACGCTCAAAAATTCTTACAAGTTTTGGTGAACCACTGGATGCTTCTTGGGAAGGAGATGGCTGAGATGCTTTTTCGACAGATGCTGAGGGGGTTGTTTCTGCTCCTGGCGCGGTTCTGGAAGGTTAAAGTAGAACACATCAAATAATGATGATACACTCGAATCAGCAGCCATACTTATTGTTGAAAATGAAAATGAGATCAAAATATATGGACAGAATTTATGAATAGCCGAAATTTCTTCAATTACATCCCTACCAAAGAGTTCCTGGAAAATGCTGAAACTTCACTAACAAATCTATAAGAGGAGAGATACATTTTAACTGAGGAAACGTATACAAATGAACAAATACGGATGTTTTCAACACTAGATGACACTGGAACGAAAAGATTCAGAGTAATGAATCTAGCCGAGGAGGGAATCGAACTTACTGGGAGTCTTCTTCGGAAGAGCCAGAATCCGAATCGGAAGTTGTCTCGTTCTTGGCTTTATCGGCGGTTGATGCAGGTTTCGCGTCTGCACCACTCTCGTCGGTTTTCTTCGACTCAGTTGTTGATTCCACGTTGGACGTTGAAACGGAGGACGGTTCAGTGGCAGAGGGCAGCTGTGTGCAATCCGATGCCGTGCGTACATCATCGCCAACCAGTGCCTTCTCTATCTTCGCGATGAACTGCTGTGATGCATTCTCGTAGAGGTCGAACGCTATTTGATATGCGAGCAACACCCCATTGGATGTCTTATTGGAAACGAGTCGATTCAGTATTTCGGCCACATCATCCGGTTTCTCGAGTTTAATCAGGCACTGACACATCGAAACGAAATCCGGCTCGTCCAATTCAGAGAACAGTTTCAACAACAAATCCAGTACTGTGTTGCGAAATCCGCGGTCCATTTGAGATTCCAAAACCTTTGCGACGGTTTCACTCAGCAGCGAAGCCTCATCTTCGGCTGACTGTAAGTTTCAAAGCGAACTATTAAAAGCAATTTTTGTTTTGCTGGAAATAATCAAGTTCCATAAATCATTTTGAACAAAAAGAGACAGAAA